TAGGCTGCACTGGCGCGATCCATATCATGCTGATGCTCATCCTTCAGGACACAATGCAAAAATTTCACTTGCTCCACCGAGAGCGGGGCAGCCTGCTTCAATTTTCTCTTCGTTGCAAAAATCTGCTCGCTCAAACCTGCTATCCTCCTGCTCACCAAGTCATTGACTGAATCTGCAAACCCAAGGATGAAATGAGCAAATCTCAAAGCAGACACAAAGCTTGCAGCGGATGTAGGCCCTGAGTCAGATGTCCTCAACCATTGAATGTATTTCCAAATATTGGGTTCACTGAAAAGGTTACAGACACCAAGCTGCGCATCACCCCACCTGAGGAAAGCCAAAATAGAATTAGCACGTTTGACCACAGTGTGAGGCGATCTTGTACCCATGATTGCACCAATTGTTTCCAAGGCATACGACTCCATGTCTGTGCCTTCTCCGCAGTCTCTGATGATACGTCCCGTCTGACAAGCGTCCATGCTGCGGCCAATAATGACCCACCACTTCCTGACACCCACAGAAAATAGTTGCGAACGCTCCTCCACGAACGACGTGTCACTCAGGCAGCTGAAAGCCTTTGCAAAAATCGGCTTGCCTGGCGTTGCTGAAAAGGTTTGTTTAGCTCCATCTGCATGAAGAGATGCTTCGGCAAAAGACGCCACGTCTAAAGGGAAGGAAACTGCATGCGTCCTTGGAACCAGGTCTGCATCACTTCCATCAAAGATCTGCGCAAACACTCCCGTCTCCCAGGGCAATGAAATATTGCAAGTCCTTACATTGTCAATCACAGCGTTCTGGAACAAGACCTTGTTGTCGAAGCTTGACAAAGCAGCAACGCCTCGAGGTTCACTGACAGACTCCCCGATTACACTCCAAGGAGCCCTTGTGTCAGAACCCTCTTCTTGAACATGGTCATCTTGTGAAAGCAGTTCCTCCTCGGAATTACCTTCGTCCCCTCCAGAGTCAATATGTTGACGCCCTTCTTCAGGAAAAGCCTCCATGAGCTCAGGATCGCCGTCATCTGAGCGACCCGACCTGAACTGATGTAAAATCCCATGGCCATGCATCTCGGGTCCTGAGGAAGCACCATGTGAAGATTCTGCAACATTTCCATCTTCCATGTCGACAGGAGGATCTATGACCCTTGTCGTCCTTTTCCTCCAGGGCATAAAACCCCCCTTTACCCGAAACACAATCTAACGGTCCAGCGTGTAAAACCGAGACAGCCTCCTCAGCAAAGGTGTTTGCAACAACTGTAATTGCACACCCAGATGATGAAAAAGGCGTTGACGGAAACGTATCCGGCGAAAAAGGCGAAGAAAACGCGCCCAACGCTGCACAATACGTCGCTGAACCGCTGCTCGTGAAAGGCACGAGCCCATGGCACAAGGCGCCAACTCCAAAAGATGGGGACAACCCTCCCACCTCAGCCCATGCTGCATCATCTGAGGATTGTCAACACGATCCAGACAAAGGCAAGTCTCAAGGCAAAACATGTTTGCAATCGCACAGGGAATGCTCAAGGAAAGTTTTTGGGCATGAAAAATTAAGCATCTCAATTTTTCAATCTTTGTCTCTGAACTAATGTGCTATCACGGGTGACCGCATACAGGGCTCGGCGTGTCTGGCTGGCGCAGTGGGTTTACTTCCACGGGTGTATATATTGCTCGTGACTGGCGGACTGCTTCTGCTGCGCTTGAACTTGGGAACCGTCTCTTTTTTCAAGTGGACGCCCATTGACTTTGTTGCAGGGGTTCCCTGAGCTCAACTGGATTCTTGCACCGGCATCAGGCTCTGCCCCCCCCAAAAAGATTGCACATCTGTCCCTGGGCTCCTGCTCTGCCTCCTCAAAAGACATGCTGCGAGCGACCGAGCACAACTTCGACGCTGCTGGGCCGCCCGCCTCGGGCCTCGCGTGCCGGCGTGCGTGCCGGCGTGCGTGAGCGCTGCTGTCGGGGGCGAGGTCCTGGCGATTCATGGATTTTTCGCGAAGTTGCGTGGTGGCTTGCTGGGTGCCTACATAGCTAGAGAGTCGCTACCTGGGCGGAGCAACGAGAAACAGGCGGACTTTCAGAACTGGAACGCCTGGGCCTACAGAGAAGGACCAAAGGCAAGACAAATCGACGGACGGACGCACGGACGGACTGCGCAAGCATGGCACGGGACCGAACAATGTGCGAACAAGATGGGCACGCCGTCTCCCTGCCATTTTTTCCTGGGCAGAACGCTCCCGTCCTTGGTGCCACGCGTGCCAGTCTCCGCGTGACCGGCTCCCTGCCAAGAGAAGTGGTGCCACAATCCGGACCGAAAGGTTCATTGCAGTGGGCTGAAACATGACATGCGTCTCCCTATGAAGACGAGGATCTGCGGTCTTCCATTTGTTCTCTCTGTCAACCCCGGCCAGCACCTATAGGCAAACACGTGTGAGCACGAGCCCGGTCGTCCAGGCACACCCCGCAGAGTTTCGTCTCGGTCAGGCCTGCACTGGCGCCGCGGTCTCGTCCGTCTCTGCCCCGGCCGCGGGCCTCCTGCCAGCGAGCGGTCGTCTGTGGCCAGAAGCCAAATCTCTAGTGTTTTGTCCAAGCGGCCTCGTCACCACGGTCTGCACGACCTCGCCGACTTCTCGCGGTCTCGTCGCCACGGTCTGCGCAACCTCGCAGACTTCTCAGCAGCTAGATCTGTAGCTCTTGACGGGAGGCCCCAAAGACACTGCTCAAAGCCCTTTCCAGCTTCGGGTACCGCGCGTTCCTTTCATGCCAGCCCCCCACACGCCCCTTGCCTGCTTGTTCGCGGTCAGCTTTGCTGTCTGACACCGCTGACACCTCAGCTAAAACCGGGTTCTGATCATCCTGGGTCGTTTCCTGCCTCGCGGTCAGGACATCTCCCTTGGCAGGACAAAATGCCAGCCGAGCCACCTTCGGTCCGGGTGCATTTGGAGGTGGCTTGGCTGGCTGCGCCTGGACGGCGCTAGCCGGGACTGGTGGCTCCTGAAGCTGCGACTTTCGAGGCGAGCGTGGGCATGACAGCGGACTCTTGTCACATCTCGCGTCGTATCTCTGATCAGGTTTCTATCGTCACGTCTCCGGTCACTTCGGGTCACGTCTTTGTCACGTCTTGTTTTGTTTGCGGGAGACTGGCGCGGGACTGTCGTGTCGAAGTGATTCCGACTAAAATCGTAAGTTTCCAGCCCGTCCAAACGAGCCGATCTTCTGACAGGGCCAACGAAAACGGCGCCGGCGCGGACACTCTCACGCGCCTGCCCGGCAACGAGAACACGAAGCCTTCCAAGACACTCCGCCTGCACCGCGAATCGACGCGCGCAGGGGGACGAAACTGACACGCTTCACCGCGACACTTGCGAGTGTTTCGGGATGTGACTTCGACGACCCCCGACCCCTAAACGGGAACCCTTCTGCCACGCCTTCGAGGGAAAGAAAAAAGGCCTCTGCTTTCATGTTGGGCCTGAAGCTAGACCTCTCAAAACTGCAGGGGCCGAGGAGTGTACCTCGACTCCGGAGACGACTTGCAAGCCGAGTTGCTGGCGCCGGCGTGCGTGGCTTGCTAGGTCGAGCCTGGGTGGTGGTCACTTTACCGGACCGTGGGAGCGCCTGTTCGAGTACGGGATCCCCTGGTTTTCCCATGTGTGCCGCCACGACCCTTCTGTCATGGCAGCGCCTAAACCACGTGCGGTTCGCACAGAAAATGATCAACCATCACTCCTTCTAAGCCGTGCCGCTACAAGGCTCTAGAAACAACACGTCAGCCGAGCCGCCGCAGCCGCTGACGGGCGGAGCTCTAACGGCGGGGCGGCGCCAGTGGTCTTCTTCCCTGCGCGTTCAGGACCCTCACGACGTAAGCTGTTGGGCCCACATGCACTGGTATGTGCTCGACGTTTTTTTTTTGCGGGAGTGCCGTCTGATGTCTTCCTTCATAGCGGGGATGCCGTCTGATGTCTTCCAATGCAGGTAACGACTTGCCGCGCGACGGATGCACGTTTTGCCCAGGACCCCTCAACTCCAAACAATGTGCTGCCGTTTGTGGGGCTGATGTCTCTCGGTGCTTCCGATTGCCCTGCCTCCCAAGCGTCGGCAGCGCTTCTTGGCCTCGCGCTCCGACGTCCTCGGCCGCCTCCTTTCTCGCGCACTCGCGCCATCACGTACCTTGGCAGCGATGGTCCAAGCGTTCACTGCGTCCAAAGGCTCTTGCATTGCCTAAACCCCTTCCCTCTACTCTATCGGTTGGCAAAGGGAACATACTCCAGGCCGAGTTGCGCAGACGCATTCTGGATGCTCTGCCACTTGCGGTGCACGTCGGCCAGGAGCGCGTCCTTCGCCTCCGCTGAGGCCAGCCTGTTCAGGTGGTCCTTCGCTCGCGAGTCCAGCGCTGCCAGTATCGCGTGGCGTGACAGCTCGTCTAGCTCCTCCTCCGCGTTCGAGCTCTCGGACGACACGGCCGCCATCGGGTCTGCTCTTAAGCCAGAGACACGGCCAATCGAGACGTGTCTTGTGCAGCCCCCTCTGTTGCGCATCCAATCCCGTAAGTCTCCCTCGATCACTGTTAGCGGGCACCCAAGCCTTGTCACGCGTCAGTCCGCTCGAGCCCCTTTGTTTCTGCGTCTGTGCGTCAGCCACTATTCTTTCCATTCTGAACGACTAACCCCGACCCCTCCGAGAAAAAGAAAACGCAGAAGCACACGGGGGTTTGCTAGCTAGGGCTAACCTGCTTTGTGTTCCTTCCCAGAGGCGGGGGTCTGCTTCTCTCGAGGGACTCATCCAACCTGGACTCTCTGACTGCCGACTGCCGTTCCCGGCTGGCCGGGCCTCCGTCTCACGACAACATCTGTCAATAATGCGGGCCTCCACTGTGGGTTCCTTCGACGGGACTGAATCATCGCTACACTTATGGATACCTATCCAGAAAAATGCTGGGCGATTGATTTTTTCTATATCGGCACGTGCCCCTCCGGAGTTGACGCATGGAACAACCTATATGTTCACTGGTCACATGTTCCCTGCAACGCTCTCAGAAACTGCGACGAGCAGCTGCCCGTGCTCATCGACCTCCTGAGGTGGCAGGAAACGAGCACGCCGCACGGTTGGCTTTACTAGGCCTGCTTCCAGGCCCTCTAACTTCGCACGCCCGCTGGCCGTGAGATCTGCGTGCGCCACCGGTCGCTCCTTCGCGGCGTCTTCCGCCGGCGCGCGGTGGCGAGCCAGCTCCACTTTCCAGTAGCGCACCCACTCAAATGCAGACAGGTGTCCCATGTTCCAGCGCGTTCCGCGACACCCGTACAAGATGTCCATGCGCCGCACGTCAGCGAGCGGTGTCGCCGAGATCGCCAGTCCACTTGTAGGTACTGCCTTTGCGGCCGCTCCGCCGGTTCCTCCTGCGCCGACCCTTCGACGCAGTCCACGAAGACTCGTCCGGGAAAGCTCTCCGTCGGTGCTGTTTGCATTCCTGTCTTGTCGCGTCAGCAAGTTCACGACTTCCGGCGCGCTGCGCACGATGCCCCGCCCATAGGCGTCCGACATGAACCGCCGTAGGTGCCGGACACCCTGATAGCTGCGACCCTTTCCTGCCAGCTCTCGACCCAGCGCTCTCTGGCCTCGCATCCACTCGTTCACCTCGTGCAGCGCCACCACCTGCCGCTTGCTGCCGTAGTCCCCAGCATACCCGCATTGCGCGTTTTGCGCGTGCTGTGCTGCGGTTATCACGCTCTCCAGATCCACCTCGTCAAGGCACCCGCCTTCCTCGCACACGCGACTGTGCGTCTCTTTGCAGGGCGGAAGTCGATACGGAAGCTGGACGTCCGTGTTCGCCCGCAGCGCTGCGGTCAGTGCCGAATGGGTGCCGTTCACCCATTCATTGTTGCGCGGCCCCACGAGAGCGCCTACCAAATTTCTACGGCCTTGGCACGGCAGATTGAATGCCCGAGCCAAGCCGGGACAGAGCACCACCGCCTCGCTGCAGATTTCCTGCACGCGTGGAAAGCGCCCCTTGCACACGGTCCGGCCCTGTCTGCTTTGACAGCGCCGTAGAAGTTGCCGACGACCCTCTCCATCAAAAGGGTGTACATGATGTTGCTTCAGCTCCTACACCCTTTGAACGTCGCTCCGGAATGCTTCTGCCCATGACCTGTCGCATGCGTCGACATCCAGCAAATACGCTGGCATGGACACGAGCGCCACGTTCTGCGCATGTTCCGGCCACGCTGCCTCGACCTCCTCACCGCGTTGCTGCTGCAGGGCCGGGTCATCGTACGTTTCTTTGCACACGTGTGCCTTGAACGCCAGATATCGCTGCACTATCTGCAGGCGCTGCCAGATGTCGTGCAGGGGTGTCACTTGGTGCAAGTTCTCCACGAAAACTTGCATGTGCGCATGCAAGCCGCCAGCTTTTTGGTGCTCGAGCGCCGCATACACCGCTGCGACTCGCCCGAAAATCCCTAAGCGCAGCGACGCGACACTGCCGTCCTCGGACATGCAGCTGCACCGCGGGCACTTCTTGCAGATGCTTATGCCAAATAAGTGTCGCAGGCATAGCCGCAGTTGCGAATGAAATGCCTCCACCACCGACAGCGGGTCCGCGGCTGCTAGGTGACGCCGGGCTTCGAAAGCAGGCAGCGAGCCGGCCGTAGCCTCCGTCACGGCTGTGCCCAGCACAGGCTGCTGTTCTCCGCCCCACCGCAGCGCGTCCGCGTCCACTCGTGTCACAGGATCGTTCTGTCGGCAGCGAAAAAGCCGCACTCCGAGCAAGTTGTCGCGCTCGTTTGGACTGATCGTGACAAAAACCGGTTCCCCATAAATGACCCGGTACGCGTGCGTCTCATGTCGCATGAGTTTCCTCACCTCGACCGTGCCAGGCATCTTGGCTGAAACATGTTGCACATTCTGCAGCAAGACGCGCGCGGCTCGCGGAAGCTCCGGCACCATGTGTAGCTTTGCTACGTCGCCTGCCACGGGCTGCAGCGGCGCGTCCGGCCCTGCGCGGAACTGCCCGTGCAAGGCCTTGCACAGTGCGACAGCACCCTCCGTCAGCTCTTCACTCGACAGACTCGGCGTCCCACGCGGCATGTACGCCACCAAACCGCGGCTCGAGTTCACCTGCACACGAAAAGCATAGTTCCACAGCGCGAACAGCAGCAGCCAGTCCCGCACGAATTGGCTTTCTGCACGTCGACTCATTGCCCGCGCCCACCGCGGGAAATCGATGATCGGCGCCGCTGCCTCCCGCCTGTACCTGGTCGTTCTGTTCTGGTGCACCAAGTCCGGTAAGCCTATACAGTAGCTGAAGCAGAACGCGAACGCAACACCGAAGTACAACGGCTTGAACTGATCTACGAGCTGTGACCCGGTGGTGATAGTCACTTCTGCAGCGGGCGGCTCTGTCCCCCACCGCAGCTGCGAGCCAAAGTGTTGCCAGGCTGCCATGTCCTGCGCGACAGCGTCCTCTTCCAGCGCGCTGCTATTTTCCAGCAGCACTGCGTGCGGGCGCACGTCTGCCAACTGTCGCGCCGCTTCTTCTGTGTCCAAATGACACCCATCGGCTGGCGTGGCGGCTTTCTGCGGCCGCAAGCGATATTCCGATCCGGGTCCAGCAGCCGCACCAGTTCCGGGGGCACCCCGTCCTCCGGCAAGCCCGCAGCCCGCGCCATGGCCACGTCCAAATCCACGTTTCCGTACGCCACGTGCTTCCGCGCCACGGCCCCACGGATCAGACTTAACACTACGGCTCGGCGAACGCGTGCCTGACGCAGGAATCTCCCTGCATCTGCGGCAGCGCGACGCTGTTGCCAGCCTCCATGCTGCCTAACTGCGCTAGGAGTTCCAGCCAAGGCATCGGATACGACGTGACATTCCCGCGCGCCCCCAGCCAATGCCGCGGCATATACGCTGTTGCGTCGTACACACTGCCTGCGCGATGATACTCCAGCGAGAAGCAAAACATGCCCGTCACGCACGGCGAGGCCGCGATCAGTTCACATACCGTGGCCGCTTCGGTGTATATCTCTGCCGGCAAGTAGCCCGTCCACATGTCGTTGCAGAGCGCCGCTGCCGGCAATGTGCCCCTGGCTGCTTGCCACTCTTGCACACACGTGGAGCATACAGGGATGTTACACGCTGGACAAAGCTCCCCCGCGCCCATCCGTGAGTCGTGCGCTGCGCAAACTACATCCTCCGGGCAGCATAACAGCGGCGTGGTCTCGAACCCGATGAGCCAGTCACGGAACGCGGCGCTGCCGCGCAGGTCTGGCCCGCTCGGCCATAGATTGCCATACTTCTCCATGTACAATGCGAAGGACAGCAGATCCAGCAAACCACGAATTTCCGGCACGCGATACCGCTGAATCTCTGGCTGCCTCTGCCTCCACGCTCGTGAACCGGCACGCGCACACAAAGCACATGAGACTTCGGGCCGTGCGCACCTGCTCGCAGTAGCTACGCAAGCAGGCCCGGTCCTGGCTTGCGCCTGCCTGTGGAGGCGACCTGCGTGCCAGCTCCTGCAAACAAAGCTGGTACACTGCCAGGTGCGCCTTGCCTCCGACTCCTTGCAGGCGCGACCGAGCCGCCACAGCCGCAGCCAGATCCCCCGCACGCACTTCCTGCAGGCGCGCCTCCAGTTCCTCTGCCGTGGCACACGTGTGCTCACACCCGCTCAACGCACAGACGACGCGCCCACGATGTCTCGCCGCAAAGTCCCACATGGGCCGCATCTTTCCGGCAACGACAGCGTCCACTGCTTGCTCGAGAGCCTGCCTCGCATCGCCACTGTCACTACGAACGCTCACGCGTACCAGGCCGACCTCCACCTCTTCCTCTCCTGCTTCGCCAGCTGCGCCTTCCTCGCGCTCGAGCGTCACAGCCGCCTCCTCCGCCACGTCCAGCGCCGCCCTCCACGCGCTGGCTCCGGCTTCCAAAAGCGGGTCGTAGTGCCACCCGTTGCCGTCCGCGTCCGTGCGACTGAACAAGCTCAGCGTCACCTGCTCCGCAGCGTCCCCGACCGCGTAGACCGCAAGCTCTATGTCCGGCCGCCGTGTCAGCCCACACTGCGCCATGATGCTCCGCAGCACGGGCTCCGCGTGGACATGGCGCTGCAAGTCGGCCCGCTCGTGCTCCGCTGCGGTCGCGCGACTGTCCCGCGCGCCGCACACAGTCAGCCGCTGTGGTCGCAAGCTGGCGTCGGGCTGCGCGATAAGCTCCGCTCGTGCAGCCGCACACATGACCCGCCGAGTCTGAGCACAAAGCAAGACTTCTCTTGGAAGAACCCCCGTGGCGGCGAGACATTGCAGCAGGCTATCGACCAAGCAATTGTTATCTCCATGCGAGAGCCCTTCCCCTATCTCCAGACGTAGCGCGCGTAGTTCCGCCAGCACCTCCGCTTCCATGCTACGCCGTGCGACCGCCGCGACCCGGGCCTACCGCTCTTCCACTTTCAGCGCTCTCTAACTTGAGCCCAAACGCCGCCCCTCCAGGAGTTTACGCACACACATGCCTCGGAACCTGCTGCCGCGCTCATACTCAAGACACGCCCTCCACTGACCTTGGCTCTAGCCACAGTCCTAGCCCTGCCTGCCTCGTTTTTTTCTGCTGACGACTGACCCCTCACTCGCGTCTTCCAACATCCTATCCGCTCCACCCCATCACCCCGTTGCACTCTACCTTCCGAGCCCAGCCAATCACGTTCTGGCCCTTAATTAGTCGAACACCTGCGGCGGGATTATCCGGCCCCGCGCACGCAGGCTATTCATCCCAAGCACTCACACCGGGCAGCGGGCTTGTGGCTGCTACACCTTCCCCGTTGCGCGCGCCCAGTCTTCCCTCGTCGTGGCCGCAGTCCCAAATTAGACCAGCGCCGCGCGCGCGGATTCACAAAAGACCTCGCCCTCGGACCGCGCGCGCCTGCTCCGGGCCGTGGCCACAGACACAGGCTACACGGCGGCTCGACGCGAGCCCTGACCGGCCCGCGTCGCACCTTGGAGCTCCGGGCCGTGGCCACAGATGCCCCCCATCGTCCAAGCGCCGCTGGCGCCCCTTGCTCCGGGCCGTGGCCACAGATACAAGCTGGCGCAGCAAGACGCGCAGACTCGCGAAGAGCGGCTAGCCCGGAAACGCGTGCGCCTGCTCCGGGCCGTGGCCGCAGACACAAGCAACCGCGACCAAGCCAGCTTGAAGCCGCAGGCTGCGAAGCCCCCTGGTGGCGCTTTCACGGCTCCCCCCCCCCCCCTCGTCGACGCGCCGCTTGCTGCCAGCCGTGCGCAGAAGCAAGCTCGGACGAGCTCCGGGCTGTGGCCGCAGACGCCGGCTGCGCGGCGGCGCCGCTGGATGCCTAGCCCGACACCGCGTGCGCCAGCTCCGGGCCGTGGCCGCAGACACCAGCTGCACGGCGGCGCCGCTCGACGCCAGCCCCACGTCGCACATATCTCCGTTTTGCAGCCCCAAAGTGGACACAGTACAAGTAAGAAACCTACACACAGCGAAGGATCGCGTTGGCCCACACATTTGGGCGCGGTTTGCAAACCGCAAGCCCCCGATTGTGAACATACCCTAGTCGCTACGCACAGGCTAGCCAGCCCAATGAATGAAAAGCCTGCACACCTCAAGTCAACCAAAAACAACATGGCTCAGCCAAGTCGAAAGCACCAAAGCCCCTCCTGCAGGCGGTCGAACTCGCCAGCGCTGGCAGTCCTCCAAGACCTGTCGAAGCTTCGATCCGGACATGGCACGTTGGGGGTTCGGGGGCGTCGGGCAAGCGCCAATACATCACCTCACAACTAAATCAGAAAGGGCTGGACGGAACTCCCCTCCATGTTCTGCGGACCAAACCAAAAACGACACTGTGGGTCAGAGGAAGCCCCTCATGAAAGGTTTTTTAACATAAGCTTCACTGTGTCACACACCTTGCCTGGCACCACAGGGTCCACACAGCCCAGCAGTGCGCGGCCCGCTGCGCTGCCTCCGCGTCCTGCAAACATGTCCGGGCTGTGTTGCGTGCTGAGATGGCTTCCACAAACCCACGAACCGCTCTGGGTTCACTCCATCCTTTTGAGGGCGATATCCCGTTTACAAAAATTTGGGGTCGCCGACATGAGAGAGCTCCCATAAAGTCTGGGAGCACTGCAAACCACTAGGTTCCCAGTCTCGTCGTCCAATGTCCTCTGCACCCCTAGCGACGCTAGCCCGTTTCCGGATTCCCTGCATCGTGTCTCAAATGGCAGGGTTTTCCTGTTGTTCCCTTCAAGACACAGCGAGAAGGATACCCACATACCCTTCGCTTCCCCCCAACAAGCCGCCCGCACACCCTCGGACAGATGCTTGACATCCCTCCCTCCTTACACGGCGCTTTGGGAATTCGAAACCTGGGAAACCCGTTTGCCCTTTAGACCAAGGCGTCGACTCCCAGGCACCTACTTGTTTGCTCTCTACGCTTCCTCAAATTGCTTTACTTCGAGCCTAGACTTGGCGCGTCCAGGCCTCGCCGGCCGCTCGGAGCATGCGTTGTCCACGAGCTTAATGGCTGTGTCTCGTTCGTTCCCGTGCAGCTTATCGGCTCCTGCGCCCACAAGCGTGCTTCTTCAACGGGTCCAGAGAGCTCGCACGAGATCGGCCTCTGGCGTGCCTTCCAGCATGTCCTGCACCGCTTGCGTGACAGCGAGAGCGTCGTGGCAGCGAGCCACGAGCTCGCCGACTTCGTACCGCGCCGCGACCGCGTAGTTTCGAAAGGCGGACCAAAAGCTGCGAAGCTCGCGCGCGACCGGGAACGCGATCGCCCTGCCCTCCGCTCTGAAATTGGCCGCGTCCAAGAAGACCAGCCGCCCCCGCGTGATGCCGAGGTTCCAAACGCTGCAATCGACCGGGCGCACGCCGTGCACACAGCAGAGCGCCATCGCGCCGACCGCCGCGGTGAAAACCCGCCCACGAGCCGCGTCATCTGCGCCTTCCAAGTATTCCGAAAGCGGCCTCGCGCGCTCCGCCGTGATGAAATGCAGCTCTCGACGCTGCCACGACACGCCCGTCAGCCTCGCCACGCAGAGACCGCGTCCGACGACGCTCGGAAACAATCTCCGCAGCTGCGCGTGGCGCGAAAGAAGTACCTCCACGTCGTGGCTATCGGCCTCCGCGGCCACCTTGAGCACCGACAGTCCCCCTTCCGCCGCGTAGACCACCCGACGCACGCCGCGCCCCACTTCCCTCATCTCGAATGCCGGCAGATCGCGCGCGCTGACGAACACACGCTCCGGT